TAATGATTAAGTTAATAATTATAATTATTACAAAATTGATAAATCGATTTGGCCACCGCCGTTTAAGTAAATTTGCTTTGTCTACCCGTTGTGTCACGATTATGTGCTAATTTGCACAAAATAGGCCAAATCCCACAAAACCAAGCGATATTTTTTTGGAACTTGCGTGCACGACATGAAATAAAAATCGAACTCAAAAGTGGCATAATGCCAGATTTTCTCTTCTTGGGAATTAGTTTCATTTCCTCAAAACGTTTTTTTAAATTTCACTCATTGTAATGTGCCGATTTGTTTACGGTGAGTTCTTTCAACATCCTGCTGACGTTGTTTTCTGTTTTAAAATATTGAAGTTTTCATTTCTTCTCCACAATAAGTTATTCTTAGTTAACCTTGCCATGCATATCCTCACATTCGTATTTCTTTGTCTTTTTCAGTCAATTTTGACCACTTCCAAATTCTGAGAGCTATTGGGAAAGGCAGCTTCGGTAAGGTAAGTAATAATTTATAATGTTTTAAAGTTCTGAATGGTTTAGGGCTGCCTTTTGTCCAAAACGGATGATTGGGCGTTTCATCGCGAGTCAAACAGAACCATTGCGCGTTACGAAGGTAAGCGTTCGGGATACAAGTCTTCTTTTGAGGAGTTTACTCCCGGAAATGTCAACCGGAAGCAATGTTATTGTATAAATATTCATCTGTAGATATGGTTGCTTGCAAAATACTCGTGAGAGAAACGCAAGTTTGAAGTTTCTTGTAAAAAGTAGATAAAAGAAAAAAAAAGGACAGAAAATCAGTATATTAGGTTGAGTTTTCTGTAAGACAAAAACCATATTTGTAACTCTCTTATTTTTGCATTAGCAATAGGCATCAAGGTGGACCCTAGGGTGTTCTGTGATGATCGCTTTCGCCCGGATGTCACACATTGCTGCTGTCGTTTTAGACTTGTGTGAACCTGTCGTGAATTCTGGAGTAAAATTATCGTCTCCATGCAGATTCGGTCTTCCTCTAGTCTTATGTAGTCTTGTTCACTTTTAATGTCTCTGAATCAGTCAATCGCACCGATCCGAACGAAAGAAATAAGGGTCCAGAAAGAAAGTTCCACAGAAATTTTACTGGAAAAAGAAACAGGCAGGCAATATTAAGTTTCACTTCGTCGAAACTCCCGTATACTTTCTTTCAGACATCCTGATAATTCCCGGTAATTACCATGTGTCAGCATTATTGATGGAGGTCGGGGCAAAGATGTATTAAGTGTGAAATTGTCATTTCTCCAACGTATAACGTACGACCTGGTGATGCAACGAACCCAATTAACCTTTTTGTCGTGACACACCAATGAGTTTGATAGTCTCATCTTAGACATGATATTCATGTACCTCGAACAAAAAAGAGGGCAGCTTCAAACCTTACGAACTTGGTTCAAATTTGGAACGTCTTAGTTATGTAGTAGGTTTTAAAGGACAGCGGGAATTCGATTTGGCCGCCGGTGTTAAAGTAAATCTGCTGTATCTTACCGTTTTTATGTATTGTGAAGCGTGTACCGTGGTTTGCTAGTTTTTATATGATTATATTTCCACTGGACGTTTCATCTAGATATATAACGTGAGCTAAAATGCGAAAATGAATAAATAGGTTTAACGCTCTTTGCATCACTGTTAGGTTATTTAACAGGCGGGACATCCGAATTTAACGTCCAGCTTCAAAAGGACTGTGGAAAATTCATTCCTGTAAAGTGGCTTTCCTAAGGACATACGTTGGACCTGAATCTCGAACCCCTGAACTGGCAGTCTCACGATTGCGAGTCCGGTAGTCTAACTACCAGACTACTAGTTCCACCAAGGTGGGCAACGAATATCTAAATTGAACACAATTAATGCTTTTCAGACAAATCGTTGAAACTCCAGCTTATATGGTCGGTGCCCATAGGCAAGATCCCGGGGTTCTGTTAGGTTCGGTACTGTGCGGTATAGTAGACTCACGGTCTTGAAACATACGCGTTTGTTTTTGAAGGTCATCATCGATTTTTTTCGAATTGGGCCATGGTGGTAACTTTTGCCTTTCCTTGGAGGAAAACCTGGTTAGCCCTGACTCAATTCATTTGAACGACCGAACCGAACAGAACGTGACGTAACGAACTGATCCGATCCTGCCAAAGGGCACCGCCTTTTAGTTTGACCGTCTCGTTTCAATTGTTTTGTATCTCACATACAGACATAGGTCAATTGATTTTTTCTCACCATTTGATGGGCACGCAGCTGGAGACAGCTACAGGAGAGAGAGGGTGTGTGTGTGTGTGTGTGCGCGCGCGCGCGCGCGCGCGTGTGTGTGTGTGTGTGTGTGTGTGTGTGTGTGTGTGTGTGTGTGTGTGTGTGTGTGTGTGTGTGTGTGTGTGTGTGAGTAAGTGAGAGAGAGACAGGGGGGGGAGAGAATGAGAAAGAGAGATATAGAGAGAGAAAAGAAGTGGGAGAAAAAGAAAGAGAGAGAGAGAGAGAGAGAGAGAGAGAGAGAGAGAGAGAGAGAGAGAGAGAGAGAGAGAGAGAGAGAGAGAGAGAGATGAAGAATAGGGAAATCTATACACGTAATTGGGAGAGAAGGTAGAGGGAATCCGAATAGGACAAAAGTAGAAAAAGATGAGAGCGACAAGACCAGCGACAACAACATAGGTGTCAAACTCAAGACCCGCGTGGCAATGCCCGCCTGACGGAGAAAAACTTATCCTGCTCGCTACAGATTTTAAGGTAGTCCATCCTGAAAATCTCCATAACACACATCCGTACCCCAAACATAAACGAACTTGATGTCAAAAAGATGCTTAACATCTAGCTCTGAAAAATATTGGCATGAGAGCGTTTGTTATTTTACCTTTTTTTTATTTAAAAAATTCATACATCAATTTTTTAAAAGAATGGTCGACGTTTTCCATTGCTTACTGAACTTTTATCTAGTCCCCCCCTCCCCCCTCCTTTCTTTCCCAACCTTAAGTGTGATTTCAGTTTGTCATCCCTGGACTACCAGGACGAGAGGTGACATCTCTGTTAACGGGGGACACACTCAGTGTTGCTGCTCTAGCAAGGATGGGGTAACTGAGTGGAGGAGAGGAGTTATTGCCCCTGGGGATTTCGCAACATTACCCCGTCTCCTAAGAAGGGGAAGCACCCCATCTCCCAAGGGACTGTAGCCTGTAGCTTTGGTTTAGTTTTGTCCTTTGGCCGTTGCTCTTATTCACGCGTACTTGCTTTATATAAAAGAGACCCTGACGTAAGAAAAATCCCCCCAACAAAAACAAACCAAAAAAAACCCCAGTAGATCTTTTATACGAATGTAATAACGAAATCTCTTTAAAATATCTTTGCTATTTCTTTCTCAAATTTAAATAATAAGTGAGGGTATAGTTTGTTCATAATGACCCTCTTTTTACAGAGGCATTTGCTTTATTTATTACGTTTCGTGTACTCATTACAAAAGAAGTTTGTTGTTTTATTCTTTAAACAGTATATAACTGTGTTGAAAAAGCAAGCATTCTTTCTGCTGCAAAGACTTGTCGTTTGCTTAATCCTACTGGTTTAAAAAAATGTAATTGAACAAAATGGATTGTGGAAAGGATTTTTTTTTTGGGGGGTGGGTGGGGAGGGAGGGCGGGTGGGAGGATAGGTGCATTGAATCTACGTCTTCATATTATGATAGGAATTAAAAAGAAGTAGCCAGACAGGGTTCAGTTCTTATAGAATCCCCACGCAAACACACTCCGTTTAGTATTGATTACAATTCTTGTGCTTTGTTTTTGTTCACGTAAGGGGCGGGGTTATGATTTTGGAAGCAAACATTATAACAATAATATTTTGGCGACCTGGCCTATAGTTAAAAGTATTCTTAGCTTTTAGCTCAAGTCACTTTACCTTGCTTAGGTTAAAATGGTCCTGCAGAAAGTAAGTAATACTATAGGAAATGGTGTTTTGCTATCATAGATTGTGAACAACACATCTCACAAGGATTTCAGGTGGCTACTTTACTAGCGGGAAAAGGTAGACCGGCTTTCAAAGGCATTGTAACGGTGATAACTGTGTTTCGATACTTGAATATCTACCTGGCCTTTTGTTTCGTTTTTATCATATTATTCTAATTAATTAGTTCTACACCTTCTTTTTCGAAGATAGACCTCTGGGGAATTGTATCGAAGTTTGTGTATTAACGTCCTTCCCTAACTGGAATGCGTGGACATTTGATGGTGCTTTGACCTGTCGGAGAACCGACAAGAAGCCTTATACTTATAGAAAATGCGAAGTTTGTTGACACCACACAAAGATTTAAACCTCCTGTTTTCTTTACTTGTTTGTTGAATTGGTAATATAATAATTCTCACGGTATTTGGAGTCTGTACGGTTTCTACCTGAAGTGACGGCATCATGTCCGAGAAAACCTCTCACAAAACGATGTCAAAAACATTGCATGTAATAGCAGTAAAAACACTTCTATTACTTTTATGTAACAGAAGGCATTAAAAACGATAATCGTTGCGGAATGAGGATAGATTCAAAAGCTTCAGAAGCCAAATCCCATCTGAAAACTTAAGATCTAACCTATAGGCCTATTCGTGTAACGATCGACCTGTAGAAGCGGAACTAAAGGGGTTGGGAAGGGATATTTTACTGCCAGGTATACATTTTTTGTTGTTTTCCTTAAACTCAACTGTTGATGATGTATTTATAGAGGCGCCAGATATCTGTGTTCAGGTGATGTTTTACACTTTTGAACGTTTATCTTTCAATTCATTTTTCTTGTTTGTTTGTTGTTGTTGTTGTTGGGTTGTTGTTGTTTTTTTTTTGGGGGGGGGTATCTTTATGCTTCATATCTGCTTTTTTTAAAACCAAGAATTTGTCTATTATGCTTTTTATCAGACCACCCCCGCCCCCCCCCCCCCCTTCCTAAAACGTGCAGTAGCATTATCAACCTTTCATCCATTTTCTCTTACTCCTGAAAGCGCCTGGGAAAAAAAGCAGAGAGAGATGTCAGAGAAGTGTATTGCGTGAGGTCATAACTCACAGTATGGAAGTCTACCCTTCACTTAGACCGAGAGCTGTTGTTTTCATATTCTATTTTATTGATTGTAGGAGCGCTGATGTGGATTTTTTAAATTTACAGTTAAAGGCTAGCTGAAACATCAGAGAAAAAGTAAATGTGCTCATTAACCGAATTCTGCTCTGGGAGTTTTTTTAAAGAAAAATTCTGTGGCCAACGATTAATGCTGTCGTTGACCCAAATATGCAATCACTTTATCAAAGATAGAGCTCTAGACTTTAGAAGGAAGTTAATGATAATATATATTAAAAACTCCACATAATTGATCCCCGTGTGGAAATTTGGTTTAAATTGGTGCAATGTGACATGCATAAATGAATAAATACATTGATACATACGTAACATGTTTTTACCACAAACACACCATTGTTGATCCCCACTGTGCAGCACCCTATTCTCTCTCTCTCTCTCTCTCTC